GGAGGCTGAGATATGAGCATCAAGGTTCAAAGCTAGGCCAGGCATCCATATCCAAAAAATTCTTACCTCCAATTAACCACTAAAAAGCCAGAAGTAGAAGTATAGCTGAAGTGGTAGAGTGCCAACACTGAGCAGAAAAGCTAAACAAGAGCAAAAGGCCCTCAGCCCAAACCTTAGTATTGGCACACACATTCGAAAAAAAAAAAAATGACTTTGAGATGAACTGATCTGAATTGCCCTGGATTATTGAGGTAAACCCTACAAGTATTTACATATTTTTTTTTTTGGGGGGGGGGGGGTCCGGTCGTGGGGCCTGAACTCTGGGCCTGGGTGCTGTCCCTCAGCTCTTCAGCTCAAGGCTAGTGCTCTACCACTTGAGCCACAGCACCACTTCCGGCTTTTTTCTTTTTGATTATGTTGTGCTGAGGAATCGAACCCAGGGCCTCAGGCATGCAAGGCAAGCGCTCTACCACTGAGCCACCTTCCCAGCCCCTTACATATATTTTTATAAGAAGGAGAGTCTGAGCAGAAGAGGAGGAAGCAATGGAACAAGCAAGCAAGATTGGAGTGATGTGACCTAAGCAGGGAATGCCAGCAGCTTTTTGGCTGAAAGGGCCAAGTCAGGGATTCTCCCTAGACTCTGCAGGAAACATCCTCTGCCTGCCAGTACCTTGACAGCCCAGTAACATCTTGACAGCCCTATAACAATGATTTCAGATTTGTGACCTAAAGATCTGTCAGAGAATAATTTAATTTAATTAATTAGTTAATTTACTTTTTTCTGCTGTAGACCTTGAACTCTGGGCTTGGGCACTGTCCACCAGCTCTTCAGCTCAAGGCTAATGCTCTACAAGTTTTAGCCACAGCACCACTTTCGGTTTTCCGGTGGAGATAAGAGTCTCACGGACTTGCCTGCCTGGGCTGGCTTTGAGCCACAATCCTTGAATCTCAGCCTCCTGACTAGCTAGGATTATAGGCATGAGCCACCGGCACCAGGCTCAAAGAATAAATTTCAATTGTCCACCAGCTTTGTAATATTTTGTTATGGCAATCTCAGGAAACATGCCTACAAAGCACCCAAAGAGAAATTTCAAATCAACTGTTGGTGACTGAGTCCAAGATCCTGAAGTTAAGATTATTGTCTTGAATATCTCCAAAGGGTTTGAAAGTGGTACTCTTACCTCCAGATCCTTTCGAATACTCTCAAACTCTTCAATGTCATCAAGCTTTAGCTCCAGGCGTGTTGGTTTTCGTCGCAGCATACTGAAATCAACACCAAGCCAGGCCCAGTGAACTCAGCTGTTCAAAATGGCAGAGAAGAAAAAAACTGCAGATGATAATGTTTAGCTACAAATGGAAGATCAATTTGTAAGCATGCACACTAAAGTGAATGAGGTATTCAAAACATTCATATACGGCAGGAGCTGTGTCCTAAGTGAAGAACTTGCCTGGCAAGATCAAAGGCTCTGGGTTTAATCCCTAGTACCAGAAAGCAAAAACAAACAAAAACACCCCACCTAATTTAAACTCACGTATAGACTTTCAAAGTCTTTGGGTATAGGATTATTATATTTTTATTACATTATGGAGATCTACAACTCTCTAATCTCCTTTCTAAAGAACTTAAAATAGGGCTGGCAAGGTGGCTCAGTGATAGAGTGCTTGCCTTGCATGCATGAAGCCCTGGGTTCGATTCCTGATCACCACATAAGCAGAAAAAGCTGGAAGTGGCACTATGGCTCAAGTGGTAGAGTGCTAGCCTTGAACTGAATTGCTCAGGGACAGTGCCCAGGCCCAGAGTTCAGGCCCCACGACCAACCAAAAAAAAAAAGAAAAGAAAAAAGAAAGAACTTAAAATAGAATATTGTCTATAAAAGAAAATTCTAGGCAGCTACACTTTAGTTTTGTGCTCAGTCATATTTATTCAAAGAAATATGCTGGGTAGTTGCATTGGCCCAAGCCTGTAATCCTAGCCATCTGAAAGTGAAGATTGGGGGGATTACAGTTCAAGGTATAAAAGTTCATGAGACTTCTTCTCAATCAGTGGCTGGGCACAGTGACACAAGCCTATCATACCAAGCCATGGGAGAAGTATAATAGGTGGGTACAATGGTGTACATCTGTCATCCCAGTGACAAAAAGGAAGCACAAATAAGAGGATCACAGTTCAGGGCGATCCAGGCATAAAAAAAGTGAAACTCTAACCAGGTGCTGGTAGTTCATACCTGTAATCCTAACTACTCAGGACGCTGAGATCTTAGGATCTTGGTTCAAAGCCAGCCCAGGCAGGAATGTCCATAAGACTCTTACCTCCAGTTAACCACCAGAAAACTACAAGTGGTGCTGTGGCTCAAGTGGTAGAGTGTTTGCCTTGAGCTGAAGAGCCGAGGGACAGAGCCCAGGCCCAGAGTTCAATCCACACACACAAAGTGAAACTCTACCTTGAAAATAACCAATTCAAAAAAGGATTGGCAAAGTGGTTCAGGTGATAGAGTACCTGCTTCACAAGCACAAGACCCTAGGTTCAAACCACAGCAATAACTAATTTTAAATAGAAAATGAAATGTGCTAGCTAAAAATAATAAAGTGGTCAGGTGCCAGTGGCTCATGCCTGTAATCCTAGCTACTCAGAAGGCTGAGATCTGAGGATCGTGATTCAAAGCCAGACTGGACAGAAATCTCCAACCAACCACTCAAATACCAGAAGTGGCACTGCAGCTCAAGTGGTAGAGCACTAGCCTTGAGCACTCAGGGACAGCACTCAGGCCCTGAGTTCAAGCCCCTCAACTGACAGAAACAAAAAAATAAAGTAAAATAAAAACAATAAAGTTAACTGGGCATGGTGATATGTGACTTTAGTACTTGAGGCTAGCAAACACAGTGAGAGGTCTGCCTCAAAAATAAATTAAGTTATGACATCGTACTTCAATTTACTTAAGAAGAAGCTAAACCAAGCATGAAATTTAGTCTATACCAGGGATTCTTGAGGCTAAAAACAGTTGCTAAATCACATGAAAACTCTGAATTTACTGACTCACTGGATTTTCCTCAGGATCTAACCAGGTCCTAAACAGATAATTCACTCATTAATGAACTCTTCCTGTGCTCCAGCTACAAAGTTAAAATGCACAATAGCAATCTGTAAAGGAAATAGATGTCTAAGTATGGAGAAGATTCCAATACAAAGTAGTAAGAACTCTAATGAGTGTAATTCAAAGACATCACATGGGCACCCAATTCAGTCTGGGCCGCACAAAGCCTCAATGTCTGGCAAAATTATCCCTATTTTGCAGATTAAAGACTTGAAGCAAGCTGTCCTATTTGGTTAACAATGTCAACCACCCATAAAAATTACACTTAGGTCAATATGATGATTAAAACGATAGTGATATAAATGAATGTTCTGTATATACTGCGAGAAGCATGATTGAAAGGAAATATTTCCTATTTTCATAAGGGTACGGGTGTTATGTAATGTGTCAATATAACCTTGACACATAAGATTTCATGTTGCTTGGTACTAATCAGAGAAATGGTACAGGAAGCCAAAGTTGAAGAAAAATAACAATTAGTTTAACTTTTCTGCCAACTGTGAATGCCTGCCACTGGGTGGCAATATAGAGTAATGGCTAAAAGCCCTGGCTCTGGCAAAATAAGAGGTTCTAATCCCACTCCCCTCTGAAATTTGAACTATTAGCATCCTCTCTCACCAGAATTTAGTTTCTGTGTTTGAACTTTTGTTGTATGACTTGAATGAAGTAACTCAGAGTTACATCCTGAAATATGATTTTCCATTTAGAAGTGTGCAAATAAGTATTATAATCGTTGAGGGGAAGGGGAAGGTTAGAGGGTTAGGGATTCTGTTCAGCCCAGCAAGCACATATATGCTTGTCGGTCGCGAGGCCTGAACTCTGGGCCTCTGAGCTGTCCCTCAGCTCAAGGCTAGAGCTCTACCACTTGAGCCCACAGCAGCTTTTTCGGCTTATGTGATGCTGAGGAATCGAACCCAGGGCCTCATGCATGCAAGGAAAGCGCTCTACTACTGAGCCACCTTCCCAGCCCGCAGCAAGCGTATTTTGAAAATCCCTTCCACATAGAAGGACAAAAACTTTGTCCTTGCTGTGCGTTGGTGGCTACTCAAAAGGCTGAGATTTGAGGATCAAAGCGAGCCTGGGCAGGAAAGTCCGTGAGACTCCAATTAACCACCAAAAAAAAGCTGGAAGTGTATTGTGGCTCAAGTGGTAGAGTGCCAGCCTGGAGCATAAAAGCTTGGGGCCAGCGCCCAGGCACTGAGTTAAAGCCCCAGGACCAGCACATAGGAAACAACAACTCTTGTCCTGCCCGTGACCAGCGAAGCACGGGGCCTGCAGCGGGGCCTGCAGCGCTGTTCGCAGGTCGTTTGCTTGACGCCTCCTACACAACGCCTTCTACCTGACACAAAGAACGGGCTAAAACAAAGAGGATCAACAACATCAGGCCCAGGCGCCTCTGCCAGCTCTTCCCCCCTCTTTCGGCGCTAGAGGGCCCCAGGGCCTAGAGCTTGGCCGCGGCCCACCTCCACCGCGACCCCACCCAGCTGACAGCAGGCCTCCTCCCGCCACTCGGGGGCTGCGCTCAAGATCTGGGGCAAAGGCTGCCATAGCAACGTGGCCCTGTGCTTTGGGAAGACTGAGGCCTCCAGTAGGCCCGGACCCTCGAATCACTCCGGAGCCGCGCGACCCCACAACACATACCTCCTTCCAAGCCTCAGTCCTTTCGCGGAACCTTAGCGCCACCGCCCACCAAAGAAGTGATGGCCAGGCTAGCTAAACTACAGTTCCCAGAATGCTCTGCACATCACTTCCCGCAAAATCTCATTTCCCGCGATACATTTTGGAAAGGGATTGGGGAGGTAGCTGTCCTACGAGCCACGCCCCTCGACGCCTGGCAGAATCTTGGCTACTACGACTCCCAACGTGCCCCGCGCCCGCTCGCGACCCACTTCCTGCCTGTGACGCATTTCCGCTTTGCTGGGCGCGCAGTGGACGGTCTGGATCCCAGAGCGCGGTTTTCAGCTGGGGCCTGGTGGCTCCGGAGCCCGGCATGGCCTCCTCACGGGCCTCCTCCACGGTACAGAGTCCAGGGTCTCAGCCTGCGCGGGCAGCAGCGCAGAGAGGGTTGGGGGCCCGAGTGGAGGGGCCGTTACCGCGGGCTAAGGCGGTGCGGGGCCGGGGAGGAAGTCGGCCGGACACGGGTGTCCTAGAAAGCCCCGCAGCACCCGCCTGTTCCCCGCGCGCCTCCGTGCTGCTGCCTTTTGCAGTTTCTCATTAAATGATTCTCCCGACTGCTCCAGAGTTACAGCGCTTTGGAATGGGGAGGGGTCTTAACCCAGATTCTCTCCCAACACATCTGCGACTCACCTCCGCAGTGGAGAGGCCTGTAACATTCGAACTTGTTCCAACCCTCCTCACCTCTCTTTGGTGTATTTCAATTGTCCTTAGTATTTCCCCACAGATGAGAAATAAAACCCTGAGTGTCACAAATCCCTTCGAAGATATGGCAGTTCCAGCAGAAGGAATTAATAAACATGTTCCAAACAAAATCCGTGATGGAAAAAAAAATCACTCAAGAGAATTTCACTAGTTTTATCAACCTCTCGTTTTCTGTTTGGCAAACACCCCACCCAGTGAGGACTAGTCTTAACTAGTGATCAGCTTGTCTTTGTTATTTTTATTTTTTAATGTGGAAGAGTGTGATTGAAACTCAGGATGAGCTCCAACCTTGGAAGCCCAGTAGATTACTAAAGTTGATTTTTAGGTTAATTTGGGTTCTTTGATTTAACAGGCAACCAAAACTAAAGCACCTGATGACTTAGTTGCTCCTGTTGTGAAGAAACCACATATCTATTATGGAAGTTTGGAAGAGAAGGAAAGGGAACGTCTGGCCAAAGGAGAGTCTGGGATTTTGGGGAAAGAAGGACTTAAAGCAGGAATTGAAGCAGGAAATATTAATATAACCTCTGGTAAGATGCAAATAACAAGTTTCTCTACCTTTTTTCTCTCTCTAGTGCTAAGGATAGAACCTAGGGCCTTGTTCATGCTAGGCAAGGTCTTTACCTTTGAACCACATCCCCAGCCCCTAGGGTTGTTTTTTGTTGTTTTGTTTTTTGTTTTGTTTTTAGCAGTATTGTACTATGTAATTCAGCCTGGCCTTGAACTTGAAATGTAGTCCCTCCTGATCTTAAATTAGCTATCCTCCTGGCTCCACCAGACAGACTGGTTACAGACAGCACCAATGTCACCAGTCCATCTTTTCTCACCTTTTATGCTCCAATTTGAACTTTGTATGCCCCTCTTAATATCTAGAATTCTCCCTCCCCCCCCCCCCTTTTTTTTTCTTCTAGGTCTTGAGGCTTGAACTCTGGGCCTGGACACTTTAGCTCAAGGCTAGCACTATACTACTTGAGCCACAGCACCACTTCCTGTTTTCTGATGGTTAACTGGAAATAAGAGTCTCATTGAATACCCAGGCTGACGTTGAACTGTGATCCTCAGATCTCAGCCTCCTGAGTAGCTAGGATTACAGGCCACCTGGCTCACATTCTGATTTTTTAACCCTTGATATTCATCCAAGTTTGGGTATATGGTGTGGAGTTTAAACCAGATTGCCGGATAATCCAAACAGCTTTCCAGTTGTGGAAATTACTTTTCCTGGTAACTACTCTGAGTTTACTAGTTAGTGTTTTTAACCATTCCTATTTATTTAACCATTGGGACTATTTTAGTAAGTAGCTTTGGAGATCATTAAAATGGTTTGTGGGCTTGGTACCATGGCATCTGTTAACCCCATTGACATATGAAAGCATAAGAAGAAGGATTGAAGTCTATGCATAAAGCAAGACCCTAACCATGAAATAACCAATGGAAAAGGGGGCTGGAAGTGTGGTTCAAGGGGTAGGGTGCCTAGTTAGTGAGCTTGAGGTCCTGAGTTACTTCCCTTGTACTGCCAAAGACTTTCTAAATAGAAAGGCTGGTCAACTGATGCTCTGTACTCTTACTTTCTGATCTCTTCTATAAGTTTAAGATTGCCAAATGAAGCAAATGATGACTTACTTATACCTTTTTCCTGCCTCTAACAGTCATTTAGGTTAAATGCATTTGGCATAATTTAATAAGTTGTAAAGAATGCACTATATCTTTAAAATGTGTAGTGGATTAGGCAATTACCTTGCTCTAAGCTCATATACAGGTTATTGTTAGAAATTATTTTGTTGCTCCTATTTGAAGATCTGGTAATGGTGCTGATGTTGCCTGTTCTTTTTATAGGAGAAGTATTTGAAATTGAAGAGCACATCAGTGAGCGGCAGGCGGAAGTATTGGCTGAGTTTGAGAGAAGGAAGCGTGCCCGGCAAATCAATGTGTCCACAGATGACTCGGAAGTCAAAGCTTGCCTTAGAGCCTTGGGGGAACCCATCACACTTTTTGGAGAGGGACCTGCTGAAAGGAGAGAGAGGTGCCCTTTCTAAATGTTTACTCTTTATTAACAGGATTCTAATCCCAAATCCAGTTGCTCTTGTAGCTGAAACTTTTAAATGTCTCAGAGAGTAGTAACAGTAATACAAATTTTATTGTTATAGTGTATGGTATGTGAAGAGGGTGCCAGCATATGCCTTCTCCACCCCAATGTGAACTTTGAGTTAGACGTTGAGTTTGAGAATGTAAACTTTAAGTACATTCCTTGTTAATGACTTAAAACATGTTAAGTAGGTTAGGCACAGTGGTGTATACCTGTAACTCCAGCTCCTTGGGAGGCAAAGTAGGATTGCAGTTGGAGTCCAGGTAGGCAAAAGTCAGCAAAACTATTTCAAATAAACTAAACAGCAATAGGACCAAGGGCATGATTCAAGTAGTAGAGCACTTGCTTAGTGCAAAACATTTGAGTTCAATGTCAAAAAAAAAAATCTATGATAGCCAGGTGCTAGTGGCTCCTGCCTGTAATCCTAGGTACTCAGGAGGCTGAGATCTGAGAATCATGGTTCAAACCCAGCCCGGGCAAGAAACTCTGTGAGACTCTTATCTCCAAGAAACCACTAGGAAAACTAGAAGTGGAACTGTGGCTCAAGTGGTAGAGTGCTCACCTTGAGCTGAAGAGTGCAGGGAAAGCGCCCAGGCCCACAGTTCAAGTCCCACGACCGACAGAAGAAGAAAAAAAAATATTTTGTAGCTATAAGTGAAGAGGGACACTGTCCTCAGTTGGTACTCCTGTGTTTTGCACAGTATCTTAGATGGGCAGGCTCAGTGTCTTTGGCAGTTATGAAGATTACCTCTTGTCTTTGTGTCCAGATCATACAGTCTCTCCCCTTCATTTTCTACCTTCTGGGAAAGATGGTTTATATTTACTCTCTTAAATTCCTTACTCTTTAGTCCTCAACCCATTGATTAACCCTCAACCACCTGGAACTTATTTTGTGTTAAGGTCTCCAGTCCATTTTAGCTAAGTCAGCCCTTGTCCCTGACCAGCCACTGCATCCTTGACCTCCTTCCTTTCCTTTACTCCCTCTCATAAGACCAAATCAATCTTCTTCCCTTAGTCTCCCCACTTCCCTGAAAGAGAACAACCCACATTCACACATGTTATTATAGATACTCTATTAAAAGTGTCTTGTTGTGCCTAATGTATAAAGTAAGCTTTATCATATGTATGTATGAATAGGAGGAAACCCTAGGGTTTCAGGGTCCCCTGAGCTCCAGGCCTTCACTGGGGATCTTGAAATGTAGCCCCTGAAGATGGCGGGATGTACTTGTCACAGTCTTACGTCATCCATGTCTTTTGTTACAGGTTAAGGAATATTCTCTCAGTAGTCGGTACTGACGCATTAAAAAAGACTAAAAAAGATGATGAGAAATCTAAGAAGTCCAAAGAAGAGGTAAAATACGCTTTTGGCTTCACAGTGTAACCATAAAAGAAGTGGTGAAATAGTTCTCCCACTTTGTTATCAGTTGTTTGCTCTGCTAGCATGGTGGTGGAGAGAATACCTTTGTGTTCTTTGCCATTCAGCAATGGTTGTTGGCAACAGATTGTCAGTAGTATTAGATTAGAATGTTAATGGAGCTCAGTGAATTTTCCATTCAGAAAAGAACAATAGCATTGTTAGAATAACTTAAGAAACAAAAAAAAGCCTAATAAAACATCATAGAAAAAAATACAATAGAAAGTACATACGCCTGACTTCACCCAAGTTACTTTAATTACCAGAGTTTCTTGTGGGTAATTACAGTAGAAAATGAAGGAACAGGCATGCTTCTAGCTTAAACAGTACTGTTGTTCATTTGCCTTTCAGTATCAGCAAACCTGGTACCATGAAGGACCAAACAGCCTGAAAGTAGCCAGACTCTGGATTGCTAACTATTCATTACCTAGGTAAGGGCATCCAGAAGAAGAAAGAATCCTGATTTTTATTGTTTCCTTTCCAGGATGGAGGATGGACTTTATGATGGTGGTGGTGGTGGTGGTTACATGGGATTGATTGGTAGAGACTTGTGCGGAAGCTTGTTGACAACTCCTTTACTCTTGTGATGATGCTCTTTCTGTGTCCCAGGGCAATGAAACGCTTGGAAGAAGCCCGGCTCCATAAAGAGATTCCAGAGACAACCAGGACCTCACAGATGCAGGAGCTGCATAAGTCTCTCCGGGTAAGATGCTCTTGGTGGTGGCTTAGTAGATGTGCTCTATTTCAGCCCAGCCAAAGGAAGGTTTGGCAGCCGCACTTAACTATCCCCACTGGACTATTGTAATAGGGGAGGCACCGTCTGTAACAGTGGCAGGAACCTCCTATGCTTTAGACTCGGCAGAGGCTTGACTTAGACTTTTAATAGAACTATGCAGTAGGTTTCTCTGGGGCTGTTTCCGTTTAGCTGATAAACTGGTAATAAGCTGGGTGTCGATGGCTCAGCCTGTAATCCTAGCTATTCATGAGGCTGAGATCTGAAGAGGGTTTGAAGCCAGCCCAGGCAGAAAAGTTTATGAGAGTCTTATCACAAGTAATCTAGCCAAAAGCTGGAAGTTAGAGGTGTGGTTCAGGTGGTAGTGCACATCTTGAGTGAAAAAGCCAAGCAAGAACACCAGGCCAAAAAAAAGCAGCAGCTAGTGATAAGAAGACTGTGGGAAGCAGCTAGAGTTCCAGATGAGCCCTGAATCCATTTTCCTACAGCTCCAGAAATATATATGAGTCTTGGAATGCATTCAAACTGAAGGATGCTTTTTTTTTCTTTCTAAAGACATTCTTGGATCCACCTACTAATGATCATATTTGTCTTTTTTTAAGTCTTTGAATAATTTCTGCAGTCAGATTGGGGATGATCGACCTATCTCCTACTGTCACTTTAGTCCCAATTCCAAAATGCTGGCCACCGCCTGTTGGTAAGTTCCATTTTATTCCCTAAATAGTGGATAGTTTGGGGGGGAAATTCAGCATTTGTCTTAGGTGTCTGTTTTTACTTCAGTCCTTCTGCTCACAAAGTAGATGGTAGGTTTCTGCCTGCTGTGTGATAGAGCACAACTTTTCTTAGCACTTTTCCTGCTCCCCAGAGCCCCCAGATCTGTTACACGTAACCCTCTGTCATGTTCTTCACATTGGTGCATTGGAGCCGGCCATACATCAAGTAGTGTCTGCACTTCAGAACAGCTTTTCTCGTTTTGTTCTGTTACCATACTTAAGATATATAACACTTCCATTCCTCAGTGCCGTTATGTGTAAACTGGGATATGGTAGCTTTGTGAAGTATTTTTGCCTTGGTGCCTGGTAGGTGGTCAGAACTTAGCATTAATAATTGGTTTTTATCTTGGTTTTCTGCTTAATATCACGTGTGCAGAAAACTCTTGGAACTCTCCTAAGTGCTTTTTGTGGAGCATGGCTGTCTAGTAATGCACAGAAACTGCTTGGCTAGGTGGAAACTAAGACTGTTTCAGGAGAAAGTGAGAGAATTAGAGTCCTCCACCTCGCCAAGCCTTAGTTTTCTTAGCTGCAACTCCTGTCTGTGAAGCAGCTTTGTTATAGTGGTCCTTTGAGACAATAGACATAAAGGAAATTTCATAGAAAAGTTCCAAAGTAAAATCTTTTAAAAAAAATAGCACATTGCTATTCAAATTTATGACAGTATCTTTTTTTTCATGTATTACTTGTTTTGGGTTTTGTTTGTTTGTTTTTGTTGATCGTGGGCCTGAACTCTGGGCGCTGTCCCTCAACTATTCAGCACAAGGCTAGTGTTTTACCACTTGAGCAGTAGGGCTTTTTCTGCTTATGTGGTGCTGAGGAATCAAACCCAGGGCCTCATGCATGCGAGGCAATCGCCCTACCACTGAGCCACCTTCCCAGCCCTACTTGTTTGTTTTTTTTGAGACAAGGTATCCACATTGTAGGTCAGGCTGGCCTAGAAACCTCTTGCCTCTGCCTCTCAAGTGCTGAGATTACAAAAGTGTGGCACTATGCCCATAGTGTGTGTGCGTGTGCGTGTGTGTGTACACTTATGTACTGAGACTTGAACTCAGGAGCTAGGTTCTGTCCCTGAGCTTTTGTCCCCATAGCTAGCACTGTACCATGTGAGCTATAGCTCCACTTGTAGCTTTTTGGTGGTTAATTAGAGATAGAATCCCACAGACTTTCCTGCCCAGTTCAAATCATGATTCTCAGATCGCAGCCTCCTGAGTAGCTTGCTAACAGTGCCCAGCTAATACTGTCATTATTAATAGAAAATAGTAGTTTGATTGGCCTGCCTTCCCTCACAAATTGATCCCAAAGTAAGGAGAGCAGCAGTTTTCCCTTTATTATAGTCCAGTAGAGGTCACTGGTTACTTAATACCTGGCTTGTGTATCTATTACTTCAAATGATCAGCTTTTTCTTTTTTCTATTTGCAACTATTAAATATTGGGGGTGAGAAGAGATTGTCCTTTAGTAATATTACCAAGGTACCTTTTCCTTCCCAGACCACCCCTGGCTGAGATGCTTTCCTTTGTATTTGATAGGAGTGGGCTTTGCAAGCTCTGGTCTGTTCCTGATTGCAACCTCCTTCATACTCTCCGAGGTGAGTTCAAATCTTATTTAGATCTCAGTCTTTTCCCCAGTATGAACTCTATTAAGTAGTAAAAGTGCCTGATATTCAGGACTCAGTTCATATAGCATTGATTCTTGACTTGATTTGATATGGATTGGTCTCTCTCACCATATAGTTAAATTAGATTTACTTCAATACCCATTCAGTTTTGTTCTAAGTTCCAGCCACATTCTGGCATTTCTTTTTGGTTCTGGGCTTGAAGTGGGGCTTGAACTCAGGGCCTGGATGCTGTCCCTGGGCTTTTTTTTTTTTCCTCAAGGCTAAAGTTTACCACATGAGCCATGGATACCTGGCTATTTTGTTTTAGTTTTTAAGGTTTTACTCTTTTCTAGGATGTCCTGAACTCTTCAACCTCCTGTCTTAGCCTCCCAAGTACTAAGATTGCATTCATACACCATTACACCCAGCTTATGATTTAAATATCCGTTCAGTTATTTTTTTACAATAGTTCTTTATACTTGAGTAGTCATTTTAATAATCTGCCCATACATGTTCCCTAATACATTTATCCATGTCATTCATAGTAGTCTGGATTTTGCAAATATGTTATAAAGAGGCAAGAACCCTTTTAACTTTCATGTCTTCATGTCTTGGAATTCTTCAGGCCATAATACAAATGTAGGAGCAATTGTATTCCATCCCAAGTCCACAGTCTCCTTGGACCAAAAGGATGTCAACCTGGCCTCTTGTGCTGCTGATGGTTCTGTGAAGCTTTGGAGCCTCGAGAGGTGAGTGTGGCCCTCAGGACCTCAAGGTGGAAAAAAAGCTGACCTGCTCTTAATATGAAAACAAAATGAAGGATTTCTTTCTTTGTTCTGTTCTTAACTAGGGGAGTGGAGGTGGGAAGCAGAGGAATTCACCAGATTTTTCTTGTTAACTTGGACCTCAGTTTTTGCCTCTGGCACCATTGTTAATATTTCCTGGCCCCAGTTGTTCTGTAAAGAGCCAACTTACCTCCTACAAAATAGATTAATGTTGGAGAGATGCTTGTTTGGAAGATGGACGAAAGATAATCCTCTCTCTGGAAGCCTGTTGAGTCTTAACACACCACCCCCGGAGAGAGAAGAGGTGATGTGGCAGCATTGCCCACAAAGTGGTGGCTCTTCACACCAGAGTCATCTTTTTACTCAGGGTGGATTTGCCAACTACAATAGGGTTTTGTTTCTTAATGTGGTTACTTTTTCTAGTCCCCCCAAAAAAAATTTGGAAATACCTTGTTAACCAAAAGACATCTGAATCCAACTGCTTAGTTTTCTTTCTTAGGAAAAGTACAGGAAGGTTTTTATTTCAGGATTTTTGGAAATACTAAATAGTGTCAACTCCACCAGAGAGGGTCTTGCTCCAAGCTTTATAATTGGCTTTGGTAATACTTAGCAGTGTTTATTTCCCCTGAGGCTTGAGTTGGTTCTGTGTGTGCACATTGACAAAGTTTCCTTCTTAATTGCCTCTTTAGGGCTCATGTTTACTTCCCGTTTGATGTTTTGAGATCTTTCCTGTTGTTGCTGGGGAGCAGAATTTAATGACCATCATAAGGAGACTAAGCTTCTCGGGAGTTCCTTTTCCCATTTGGAGTCTTAACGGGCTAAGATTTGAGGCTTACCTATAATCACTTGTATCAAAACTATTTGACTTCCTGTATCCTCACATGTTTACCAGAGTATGTTTTCTTTCTAGAACCTAAGCACTATTTGGATGCTATTTTTCTCTAATCCCATATGGTATATATCACTCAGATAATACTCAATCTTTTTAAAACTTGTAGAAGTGGCCTATTGTTAGCCCTAATATTTCAACAACTTATTTGTTCAATTACAATTTAGCTTCTCAAACTGTACAGAATAGGTGTATGTGCACAACAATGAATCCATGAATATTTATTTACATTTCTACTAAAATGTTTGAATCCTGTATATGTGTGCTTTCAGTGATGAACCTGTGGCAGATATTGAAGGGCATACAGTACGTGTGGCCCGGGTAATGTGGCATCCATCTGGACGTTTCCTGGGCACCACCTGGTAAGCCAAACTGTCCAGTTTCATCCAGGCTCCTGACATTTTGTTAACCCTTTCGGTTATGTACAAGGTAAATTTTAGAGCAGAGATCCTCGAGCAGGGTTTTCTTGGGCTTCAGTCAGTCAGAGTTAGAAGAGTATCTAATGTAGTCAGAGCTAGGTAGTTTGTTAAGTCTCAGTGAGTGATTTAGAAGTGATATGGTTTTGGTGTTGTTGCAGATGATGTTCAAATCTCTCAGGTACTTTGATGGTACATACCTCTAATGCCAGCACTCAGGAGACTGAGGCAAGGAGGATCACATGTTCAAGGCCAACCCAGGCTAAATATTGAGACTTTACCTCAATTAAACGAAAATAAAATCAACCTCTCCCTCCCCACTCCCATTCCCTCTCTGTGTGTCTGCCAACAAATTGCTTGCCTTTTCTGGTTCTGTAAGTTCAGCTAGGCAAGGATCTGCTAAAGAGCTTTTACTTTGAGGTACAATAGCATGGCTTTATTTTTTTGTTTGTTGGTCGTGGGGCCTGAACTCTGGGCCTGGGCGCTAGCGCTCTACCACTTGAGCCACAGGGCCACTTTGGTTTTCTGGTGGTTTACTAAAGATAAGAGTATCATGAAGGCTGGGAAGGTGGCTCAGAGGTAGAGCGCTTGCCTTGCATGCTCGAGGCCCTGGGTTCGATTCCTCAGCACCACATAAGCAAAAAGAAAAAAGCCAGAAGTGGCGCTGTGGCTCAAGTGGTAGAGTGCTAGCCTTGAGCTGAAGAGCTGAGGGACAGCGCCCAGGCCCAGAGTTCAGGACCCATGACTGGACCCAAAAAAAAAAAAAAAAAGAGTATCACTGACTTTCCTGCCGGGCTGGCTTTGAACCGTGATCCTCAGATCTTAGCTTCCTTAGTAACTAGGGTTACAGGCATGAGCCACCAGCACAGGGCCATGGGTTTATTTTTGAAGTGTACAATTCAGTCCTGACAAGTTCATACTCTATGTAAGCATATAGCTGTCAATATGAAACAAGGTCTGTCACTCAAGTAAGTTCTCAGGCCCTCCTAATTTAACTAAAGCAAACTTTGACCTGGTTTCTATCATTATAAATTCCATCCATTCATGCTTCATGATCTCATTTGTGTCTGGCTTCTTGCACTTAGTAGAACATTGCTAGCATTCATTTGTGGGCTTACACGTGTCAGTAGTCCCTTCTTACTCCTGAGAAATAGTCTGTGTCTGTGCCATGGTTCATCTGTTTTTCTGCTTCTATATTTATACTGGGCAGAATTAAGCTGCTATAAATACTCTTAACACAGGTTTTTTCAGACATACTTGTCTTTTCTGTCTCCTGAGTTCCTACAAATACAATTGCTAGTTGATAGGGCAGATGTATTTTTAACTTTTCTAGAACTTCCAGGCTAGACAGGCACGGTAGTACACCATCCCTGTTATCCAGCACTTGAGAATCAAGTGGAGGAGAATCAAGACCAGGAGGCCAGACTGAGTTGAGATTTTTTCTCAAAAAAACAAAAAACTTGCATGAAAATGGAATAATGAAATCTCTTAAAAATGGTTTTACATGGGAAATGGAAATGAGAATAATAGAAGGTATGAATTATCAAAGTAATTCCATTATATTCATGTTTGCAAACATCACAACAAAGCTTCTATATAAATAAAAATAAAATAGTCCTTTTTTTAAAGCACTTCCAAAGGGTTGGTACCAAATTACATCCCAAGAGTTCTGCTTTGCTTCATGGCCTTGCACCAAATGCTTGGTTCTAATTTTAATTTGTATTACCATGATTGGTAGTAAGTACTTGCTCGCACACTGATCATCTCCTCTTAGCGAGGCATTGTTTGTGCTAGAAAGGCATTTCTTGTTAATGTGGAGTTACAGAAGTGTAAGCTGAGCTGCAGTTATTTATCGTGCATTGTACAAGTAGAATTGGTCTTCTGGTTGGTTGGTAGTGTCATATTTTTGTTTTTGTTTTCTTTTTAAAAGCTATGACCGTTCGTGGCGCTTATGGGATTTGGAAGCTCAAGAGGAGATCCTGCACCAGGAAGGCCACAGCATGGGTGTGTATGATATTGCCTTCCATCAAGACGGCTCTTTGGCTGGCACTGGGTAAGCATCTTCTATAAAGCCGGGCAGCTCAGTAGTCTGGCTCTTACATATATGCCTGCTTCCACAAAGAACGGGATTCAGTGTTCATTTGTATACTATCTTATCAGGGGACTGGATGCATTTGGTCGAGTTTGGGACCTACGCACAGGGCGTTGTATCATGTTCCTGGAAGGCCACCTGAAGGAAATCTATGGGATAAATTTCTCCCCCAATGGGTAACTCACTGAATGGCCATGGGAAGGGTTCTTGTTGAAGCAGCACTTTTTGTTCCTAACTTTGACAACTGCCTCTGCTCTGCAGCTACCACATCGCAACTGGCAGTGGTGACAACACGTGCAAAGTGTGGGACCTTCGACAGCGGCGCTGTGTCTACACCATCCCTGCCCATCAGAACCTAGTGACCGGTGTCAAGTTTGAACGTAAGCTGTCCTTCTGATCGCAGCACCAGACAGGACCTGCAGGCCAGGCTTCACCTTCTAGACATGCAGCTGACCTCTGCTAAAGCACGAAATTCTAACTTCCTTCCCTCTGTCATATCCCCAAACAGAGCTATAGTAGAGCATACTTCTTGCAGCCAGGGAGGAAGAACTTCCATGAGTGCTTGCTTGCTTCCCTTTCTCCATGGACATTCTACCATTGTATTCCCATTGTTACTCTGAACAGATTGTCTATAGGAAGAGCGCCGGTAGACCCTCGTAGTGTTCCTTGTTCTCAGTCTGCCTATGGTTGACCCCTTGTCTTACAAACTCAAGAATGTCAACCCAATGTAGTAGGCTTTTCTAAATGTGGAAATAATCTTTTTTTTCAATGTAGAAGGTTTGGGCAGATTTTTTTATGCTTTTGTTTTCTTAAGCTCTTTGGAATATGTGAATTCTTCAAGTCTTTTCTTCTTGTCTCCTAAAGCTATCCATGGAAACTTCCTGCTCACTGGTGCCTATGATAACACAGCCAAGATCTGGACCCACCCAGGCTGGTCCCCCCTGAAGACTCTGGCTGGCCACGAAGGCAAGGTGATGGGTCTAGACATTTCTTCTGATGGGCAGCTCATAGCCACTTGCTCTTATGACAGGACCTTCAAACTCTGGATGGCTGAGTAGGCAAAACCATGGAAGAAGAACTGTAACCTCAGGCTCCCTCAGGAGCCATTTTCCTCAAAAGAAAAGCATTGGTGTGTTTTGTTCTATCATGTTTTCTATTAATTACCATGTATAGACCCACATTATAATTGGATTTTTATATCCTGGCATGGTGATGCACTCCTGTAATCCTAGCAGTTACAGGGCTGAGACAGGAAGATCCTAAGTTCAAGACCAGAATGAGCTACATTGTGAGATCCTGTATCAAAAAGCAAAATAACAAAAGAAAAAATGAGATGTTCGTGTCAGCCCCACTCCCAGGTAGGCAGTCCAGTCCCTAGGTGATGACAAACCCCTCACGGTTGAAACCTGGAGTCTCATCTTCAGACTTGCTGTGAACTGTATTTTATTAATCTTTTGTTTGAATACCCTACCTCCTCTCCCACCTGGAATTGCAACTGCTGTTTGCATTTTTAATTCTTGAAACTTGGCATTCCCCAACGTGATACGTGCTTCAGGACTGCCTGTGATTGAGCAAGTAAGATAGCAGGCCAAGATTCCGGAAGCCCTCAGGGTGGGAGGGCAGCTCACCACTCGCACTGATTGAACAATGCCAGACGGAGAGCCTCTCCTTCCCACTGAGAATGAGAGGAAGCTCTAGACCACACCTCTGCTGACAGATACACAGTAAAGAAGATTCGCCTGCTTCCTGTGGAGTTCACTGGGAGTGCTAACTGCATCAGGAAATTCAGAACTGAACACTCGCCTTATCAGAAAATGACTTCCTTTTTGCTTTAAAGTTTGGCATTCTTTGTGTTACCCTAAAACAAGGGCCATGTGTCAGCATGCGACATGTCTACTGTACACCCTCCTTCCTGTTGGCTTTTAAAAGGATGCACTTCATGTATCAAAGGATACTTCATGTCAAAATAACTGGGGAAAAAATTCCTTATTGGGCATTCCTAAATGTAAACCCTTTTTCTTTATTATACACTTGCTAAGAGTAAAATCCTACTATAAAAACTACCTTTTAATGAATTACTTTTAATATTTAAGTATGTGTGCATATGCATGCATGTGTGCACACATGCTGATACTGATAATTGGGACTTGGACTCAAGGCCTTGTGCTGAAGACTGACATTCTACCACTTGAGCCATCACTTCACTGTTTCTGGTTAATTGGAGATAAGAGTGTCCAGGCTGGCTTTGAAACTCAGTCCTCAGATCTCAGCCTCCTCAGTAGCTAGGGTTATACAGCAAATTAACACAAAAATGGAATTTGGAAGAAAGGATGTAAACGAATGAGGGGTTTCAATAATACCTTCCCCTTGAATGTTCAAACCCCTTTTCACTTGCTATGCCAGAGAGGTTGAGAATAGCCATGTCTAGTTCTATACTGCAAATTAGGAGTATATGATATGTAGTGAAACCTGCCCTTTAATCTCGTTTCAGTCAAGCAAAAATACATCTCCTATGTAGGTGAACCTCTGAACTCAGATCTATCCAGTTTTGGCCACTTCACTGTTAACTGGTTCTATTTCCTTTGTGGTTTGCCATCAAAAACAACACTCATTACCACTTTTACAGTGAGTATAAATGTAGCATTTGCCTTGTGCCTTGAATATAGTTTGCTAACAAAGGTTGTCAGTTCCTCACATTTAAATTTTTCTATGAGTTCCCTTAGACATGTCTTAGAGATAGTAGTTGGGATGAAAACATTTTATCTAAGCCTTGGACAGAGCTAAGAAGCACAAACCCAAATGTGGCATTGGGTAATGGTGAGGTAGACATCATGGCTACCCCTAACACAACTCTCTGCTAATGTACAAAGTACATTGAGACATCTCATCTTCACAGTTCTATTAGTTTATTCCTTTGTAGGCAACAGCTTGCCCCAAGTTCAAGGAAGTGATGGAACCTGAACTTGACTATCAAGTTTAGCCATTAGGGCCTGTTCCTTGCAAAAAGAAGCCCTCTACCTTATATGTTGTCCTGCTAAGTCACTTTGTGATTTCCTGTTGTGTTCATTTCCCAACTTTTACCTCATGAACTTAGAAGTGATAAAAAATGTTCATTATTTAATACATAAAAAGCCAGGCACTGGTGGCTCATACCTGTAAATAAATCCTAGGTACTCAGGAGGTTGAGATCTGAGGATTGTGGCTCAAAACCAGCCCAGACAGGAAAGTCCGTGAGACTCATCTCCAATAAACCACCAGAAAACTGGAAATGACGCTGTGGTTCAAGTGATAAAGCACTTGCCTTGAGTTGAAGAGCTGAGGGACAGCACCCAGGCTGAGTTCAAGCCCCCACGACAGACCAAAAAACACAAGCTCCATCTAAGTTCACAGAAAAGATTCTCCCACTTCCTAGCTGCTACCCTTGGGCCTGGTTGTTGAACTTGGGGAGCTCTGGTTTCTTCAAAATGAAGGTGATGCCTACTTGGAGTAGTAGGCCTGACTGCAGGAGCAAACGCTCCTTCCCAGGCTCACCCCCTCCCCCCCCTTCTCCATCTTTCACTCGTCCCTTTGAGTGCAGAAAACATGGTGAGGTCATTTCCTGGCTTGTCACAAAGATGTAGAGAAAGGAACTCAGTGGGGAGCCAGGCCCAGCTTCAGTACAATTAGCTTTGATGATGCCAATGGAGACAGGTACTGGTCCCTCGGAGGATTCATAGGTCGCTTTCCAGTTTCGTAATGGAGAATTTTTCTCACATTGGAGTGGAGAAAATAGGTTTTTGCCAAGTCAGAGCATACATCTTGGTTTGGGATGAATATAAGACCTCTGAGGAAGCTAGGCACCCATAACTCCTTAGCTACTCAGGGGGCTGAGGTCTGAGGATTATGATTCAAAGTTGGCCTGAGGCTCTTCAATTAACCACCAGAAGAGGAGCTACGGTTCAAGTTGTAGAGTGCAGCCTTCAGCAGAAAAAGCTAAGGAATAGTGCCTTGGCCCTGACTGAGTTCAAGGGTCAGTATCCACACACACATACATACAAGACCTCTAAGGAACTTCCAGGTAGTTCCGCTAAAAACATTACTTAGAGCAAACTGACTCAAGTTCTGGTCTCTGGCAGCTGATTGGCTAAATTTTAAAAGAAAGCCATTTCCTAATTGTGATAGTATTTTAACTACTTTGGGATTCTTTCAGAGTCCAGGCAAAGTTAAAATGAGAGAAGCAGAAGTCAGGGTTATAAACACTGCATGGTGGCAAGCTATCACCAGCAGCAGACAGTCCATCCATTAAATTCTAGGAGCTTAGTTCCCGGATTGCCAGTGAAATGAAAACCAGGGTCTCCCGCTTACTATGGCTAGGATGAGAGCCAAAGCTTTGCCTCTGCCAGGATTTCTGTGTTACTCTTGAGCCCAGAGTTACATATAGTACTTGTAGAAAGGGAACTGCCTTTACTGTACAGGGTCTAAGCAAGGCCTCAGTACCTACCAGGAAGAAAGACCTTCATTCTCAAGTCCCAGATTCCTAGTCCATCAATCCTGGCTTCCTTTGCCAGGACTGAGCTAACACTCCAAGCACTGTTGATAAAGTGTTATCTTGTCAGAGAACCTGCTGAAAGAGCAGGCTCTCCCTGCCCTATGGGCCATCTGCAGCTCCTGCATCTGCCCGTCTCCTCTCTTCTATATCTGCCCGATAAGTGGGTATAGAATCAATAAATTAACGCAAGCCATTTCAACAGAGGCTGATGGAAAGATATCTAAAAGTAAGCTGGAAAAACAAGACAAACACCACAGAATCAACATTCTCTTTTCAAATATTTTTTTAGCCAGTTTGTAATGCAATGAGCAACTCCACACAACATGAACTAAGCCAAAGCCACTCCACTGAGAAATTCCACTTGTGATGGGGACTAGTCAGAGCTCCTGAGTCCTACTGTCCAGCGTTTGGCACAACTTGTTGTATGGCTTTGCCACCATAGAACCCCTTCTCTGCCCTCCATGACCCCTCTTGGAGGGCTCCCCCTCTCATGGTAGGGCCTCGCTGATCCCTGGGTTGTGAAATGAGCAATCCTACAAGGATGACAATGCCCAGTGAGACTCGGCAGTCCCCTACCCCCCAGCAGCAACTGAGAAAGGTGGGGTTCTTTGTCTGAGACTACCACACTCACCCTACACCCCAAAGGAACTGCTTGCTCCAAAAGATGGAGAAGATCAGCAAGAGTGTGACACTGAGGATGACAGCCATCAGGTAGGCGAAGATCCGGAACTGAGGGTTTCGGAAACACTCTCTCAGAGAGTAATGACTGGGGAGGGGGAGAGGGAGGGGCCTAGGCCTGGTGGCAGGGCCCAAGTCCTGGAGAGGCCCCATCTGGCTCCCAAGCTCAGGGCCTAAGTCCAGTGTGTAGACCCGAGGCTGGCGCAGGAAGTAGCGATTCTTGGGCTGGTCCTTGAGACAAAGCTGACGGCCTTCCAGGATGATGTGGTGGGGCTCCAGGTGGAGAAGGGTCAACATAGCCGTATCCGTGGGCAGGTCAGTGACGGGCTGTCCTAAGGCCAGCACAGTGGGCTGACGACAGAGTGGGCACAGTAAGCGGCGTCGGGCAGGAGTCACCAGGCTGAGGTGGGCCAGGCATTCAATGCAGAAAGAGTGGCAGCAGTCCAGCACTTTGGGGGTGTGGAACGTGTTGTTGAAAGGGTTCCAGCAGACAGGGCACTCGGCTGCCAGCTCCTGGCCCTGTGGTTCAGCCATCCTCAGACAACGCACCCGGTGGCCTCACAGGGGATGGCCTGGCACAGGAAAAAGAAGCAAAGACACACCCGTCATGCTCCGTCCCTTCACAGTGTTAGGGATGTTATTCATTTTACAGGCGATGAGACATCAGTAAACGCATTTTGTACCTAGCTGGGCACCAGTGGCTCACGCCTGTAATCTTAGCTACTCTGGAGGCTGAGGTTTGAAGCTTGCAGTTTGAAGCCAGCCTGGGCAGGAAAGTCCATAAGAATCTTATCTCCAATTAACCACACACACACACACACACACACACACACACACACACAAAGCCACAAGTGGAGCTGTGGCTCAAGTGGTAGAGCTTTGAGCACAAAAGCTCAGGGACAGCACCCAGAGGCTGAGCTTAAGCCCCAGGATCAGCACAAAATAACTACTTTTTTTTCTTTTTTCTGGATTGCTCAGTTCCTCAACCATCAAGTTCAGTTGGATGTTCCACAGCTCTCCCACAGCAAGGGCCTGCGTGTCTCCGCCAGCAGCACTGGAAGGAGGTCAGATTGCAAGGAACTGCCCCCAGGCTTTGGGGCTGATAAAAATGTTCCCTGTGTTTTCCAGTGTTTTCTCTGGAAGGCTCTGACTCCAGGGAGGAAGAGGAGGACAAGACGTATTCAGTCTTGTTTGGAAGACAGATAGCTCCTGTCATTTTCAACCCTTGTCTAGGGCGGAGATGGGCTTTGTGAACATTTGTCCTCTTCTAAGGACAAATGGCAAGCCCTTTCCTTATGCTCGGGCCTACTGACTGGCCTTTCTCCTTGTCCAGAAATCCTCAGCAAGACTCCCCAGCCCAAGTCCCCAGATCAGCCTCTCTGTGCCTCTTGCCTGTCGTGGGCCTGGCTGGCTCCTCCTCCCCGCTGCTGCTTTGTCGAGGGCAAGCTTCAGGACACCCACCTGCGCTCCAGTGGCTGGAGTAGGGCTGGTGGAGCACCCTGCGGGTTCTGAGGCTCTGTTTTCTTCCTCTCCGGAATCCCCAACGCTCTGAGAAACGGCTTTCTCTCCACCAGCCCCTGGGCTGTCTCCATGGCAGCACACTCACAGCACCTGGAGCTGCCAGGTGGCCCAGGCTGCAAGCCTCTAGAGCGCACCTGGTAGGAGCCAAGGCCAAGGAAGTTGCCCAGGTGTTGGCTGGGAGATAGGGGACCTGGGTTTCCCCAAAACACACACCAAGGTTGGGCAACCAAGTCTATGAGCAGTTTTTTCCAAACCTAAAATCCCCAACCGTGGAAAAGTAGAGCAGGCAATTTCTTCTTTGCAGCTTATCAAGGAGGTGCATCTTCTGGGCTTATCTTTCCTAGACCCTCATTTCTTTCCTAAACTTGGCTGAAACCTGCTTCTTGTACCAAGGGGCTACTTGTCCTGCACTTCTCTTGCTGAAATTCACCTGCTTCACAATCTGAAGAGATACACCTGCTTCACAATCTGAACGCTCTTACTAGCTGGGTCAGCAAGGCCCCTTGGTCCCCTGCTTTAGTGGTGTGTGCATGCGCATGTGCACACCAGCTCCATGCTGGAGCTTGAACTCAGGACCGTGTGCTCTTGCTCAGTTTTTTTCATCAAAGCTCTCACTGTACCATTTGAGCCATACCTCTTCCAGCATTTTTCTGGTTAAGTGGAGATAAGAGTCATCTGCCAGCGCTGGCTTTGAACCTCAGTCCTCAGATCTCAACCTCCTGAATAGCTAGGATTACAGACATGAACCATCAGTGCTCAGCTTCCTGCTGATCTTTGGATGCCCCTAAGTAGCTCCCTCCAGAATGAGCAAACTTTGCTGCCTTCTGCTCTGTTCTTAGAACACAGATGGCCAATGGTGGGGATCTTACAGTTCCAGAGCTAATATCCTGCCAACCTTAGGAACTTAAAGAGGACAGGTGAATGGATGGGTAGGAGGGAGGGAAGGGAGAGCTGCCCAGTTGGTTCCCCATTTCAACCCAAAACAATGGGCTTTTATCTGTTGCTCTGATTGGTCATCTAAACTATTTGCAGAGTTCAGTTGCTGGGGAGGAAAAAAAAAGAAAACTTATTTCTCCATCTTTGCCTTTTGCGAAGACAGGAGGAGATTTAGCCAGTGTCAGCTAGTCCTGGGCACATTGGGTTCTAAGTCTTTGGGTTCCCAGTTTACTTCCACACTACAGTCACGAAGGCAGAGCATTAGTCCACCAGCTGGCGGTGCAGGAGCAGACATGTTGGAAAATTGGTCATAGGTTCATGTGAAGGTTCTGACCCCAGACATGGTGCCTGTGAGGACAAGGATTCCAGTTGAGTTACTTAACTTCCCTGTGACTCAGTGAAAAGAAGACTAGATGTAGTGAAGCTTTAGAGCCCAGGTGAAGAGGGTTTGGTTTAAAAGGCAGTTGGTGGCATTATTGCAAACGGATGTATGAGTGAAAGATTGTACAGCCTTTAAACTAATTATTACTGTGGAAATATGTCTGTGATATAATGTCACGAAATGGAAAAAAACAGTACTAAACCATATTGCAACATAATCCTTCTTTCAAGAATATGTGCACAGGTCAAGTGCCAGTGGCTCATGCCTGCAATCTAGCTTATTGGGAGACTGAAACCTGAGGATCATGATTTGAAGCCAAGCTGGACAGGAAAGTCCATGAGACTATTATCCCCAAGTAACCAGCAAAAAGCCAGAAGTGGGGCTGTGGCCCAAGTAGTAGAGCAAACAGCCCTGTGTGAAAAATCTAAGAGACAACACCCAGGCTCAGAAGTCAAGTCCCAATATACTCCCTCTCACACACATACTTTAATGCCTGCATGCACGTGCGCGCACACTCACACACACACAAATAAATAGATGCACAATGGAAAAAGGTCTGCAAAGATAACAGAATTTCACTAGTGTTTGTGGCTGGGGGCTTGGCTTGAATTCTAACTTTACTCTAGTTAAGTTTGTCTTTCTATCCTTAAAGAACTTTTTAACAGCAGGCCAGACCTCCATTCTCCGGAGCTCTGTGGCCAAACTGTAGAAGGTTGTTGAAGAGTCAGGAAGGTGGCCAGGGCCTGAGTCCTAGCAGCTGCGCTCCCTCAGCTATTCCAGGTCAGCTGGTCAGAGACTAACGTATCTCTTCAGGAGACACTTGACTGTGGATTGACCCCAGATTCCTCTCCCCCAAGTCCTTATGGGACAGTTCAGTTTCCGTAAGTCTTGAATATCACCCCACAATCACCACCTTGTTTAAGAACAAATCATCATCAAATTGTACGCCTGTCACATTCCTCCCCTCTCCCCCCAATGTTTTCAACCCCAAGATGGCAGGGCTGGGGAGCAGACACACAGACAACACTTCACAGATTACAAATGGGACCCATCCTTGCTTGGATCTGTATGACAATACCCTCCGTAGTGCACAATTGACTTGGACAATTTGTTTTGCATTTGCATAAAGTCATGTGATTTGCTCCAATCCCCACCCCCACCCCCCATGAAAAGGGGCAGAATGGGAGTAAAAACATGCAAGCTTCAAACCCAGATTCTTTTTCCCACCGATCTGAACAAATGGCTTGACTTGCCTAAACTTTTACTTTCTATGTGAAAGAGTCTGGTGATTCACTTCACAGGTCTGCTTCTTTTATGAGCCAGCAGAACACACACAATACGTGCATGGTGTTTTACAACCAGTTGATAGATGGGGAAGCCAAGGCTCAGGGCTGAAGAGTGGCAGGCTTCAAAGCAGATCCAAGAAACCGGTACTATGACTTGTGCCTGTGATCCTAGCTACTCAGGATGTTGAGATTGAGAGAGTTTTCTAGTTCAAGGCCAGCAAAGACAAAAAGTTTGCAGGACTCTCATCTCAACCAATGAAAAGCGGGCACAGTGGGATGCACCTGTGACTCCACTACATAGGAGGCTAAGATCAGGAGAACCAAAGTTCCAGGCTAGGCCAGGCAAAAAGTGACACCTTGCTCCAAAATAACTAATGCACAAATGGGGCAGAGCTGTGGTTCCGCAGTACGGTGCCTGCCTAGCAAACACAAGATCCTGAGTTCAACCCCCAGGATGACCCCCAAAATAAAGTGACCCAGGAGGCTTCCTCACAGCCTGGAGTTCGCTTTCTGGGTGATGGTGCATCGTAGGGCTCAGGACCTGTGGTCCCAGGCTCCATGACCCTCTGCAGCTCCTTACCTGCTTCCTCAGAGGTTCCTCTTGGCCTCCTCCAGTTTCTCAAGTACAGCCCACAAGCAAGTGCTGGTGCAGACTCCTTAGCCACCCCTGGGGACTGGCCCCTCCCCTGGGGACTGGCGCTTCCCCTGAGGATGGACTTCATTTGCATAGAGCTCTAGTCCTGGCAGCTTGCCCTCTTCCTTCTCGGTTTTTTTTTGGACTGTCAGCGCCTACCCGGAACTCTGGAAGCTTTCTTTGGTCTCTTGTCTTACCTGTGAGTCACTTTTGCTCTGAAGGAAGTTCACTCAGCCATGCTGGCCTCTGCTCCAGGGGGGGCTGGGACCCTGCCATCCACTGGACATCCCTCACCTGTTCCAGGCCAACCACCTGGACTTTGACTAGAAGGCAGCCTGGCTTTGACTGGAAGGCAGGCTAGCCTCCCGGGTACCCCAGGAAGCTGAGGTCAACACAGATGCTCTCCTGTCCTGAGGCCCCGATGTGCAAACACAGAGTTCTGGCAAAACGCAAAGAATCTAACAGTGAAGACAGAATGTAACAGCAGACAGTAAAGTAGGTATAAACAAAAGAAATGGGGAGAACCCTCCCCCACACACACACATTGGCCACCAAAGCCAGATGTCTAGGTCAGGATCAAGACACTGCTGAGAATCAGACGCTACTTGCTAGCCACCAAGATAAGCCACTTCATCACTTCTCCACATCCTGAGTTTCCCCACATGAAATCGGGGACGATTTACCAACACAGTCTATAGAATAAATGAGGTGATACACAGAGAGATTGCAAGGCAGAGAATGCCACGCAGAAACAGTGTTACCTAGTTGTTATTATTATAACACGATCAGCCAGATGAAAAAAGAAATGCACCTGTACTCACAATAGTCTGGCCTTATTTGTAAGTTTATTACATGTTATTTTGACCAGTCAGGGTAAAAAAAAATTTTTTTTTAATCCAAAGAAATTTCAAAAAGAATTTAAATTCCCATGTGTGCAACACGTAGTTCCACTGGTTCAGAGAAGCTTATAGTCGCATATGTGGTCCATTGTGTTTGAATCCATGTGTCCCTGTCCTTAACTTTGTGAAAATACATCGCCCTCCCCCTCCCCCCCCCCCACCAAAAAAATGAAACCCATTGACCCAGGCGAAAGTGAAGGTATTTATGTGATAAGGTGAAGTTTTGAGGTTTGTTGAAAAGACATATGTATTTTTGTGTATGTGTGCTGAAAGGCACTGTCTTTAGAGAGGCTGGGCAGCCATTATGGGGAAATGACACAAGCATCTACAATATAGTACAGAACTCTATGCATCCTGTTTCCTCAATAACAAGGGTATACACACACGTATATGAGATGTGGTCTGGGGGTGTGGGTTGAGTGGTAGCATGTCTTCCTAGCAAGCCCAAGGATCTGAGTTTGAGTTCCAGTACTACTAGAGACGGAAGAGATCAAGCCAGACAGATAGGCAGGCTGGCTGGCAGAAAGGAGGGAGGGGGAAAGAGGCAGGAGGGAGTCAGAGAGAGAGAGAGAGATCTAAAGCCCCACTGGCATGCCTGAGAGGTACACTTGGGGAGGAGGAAGAAGTTGAGGCAGCTCCAAGACAATAGAGAAGGAGCTGCAGAAGATCAGCTGGGCATAGTGGCACACACTTGGAATCCTGGCACTCGGTGGAAGCAGGGCTAAAGGAAGAAGACCGTAGGTTCCAGGCTGGGCTGCATACTGCAAACCTGTTTCAAAAAGGAGGAGGAGGAGGAAGAGGAGGAGGAGGAGGAGGAGGAAGAGGAGAGAGAGAGAGAGAGAGAGAGAGAGAGAGAGGAGAACTGGCATAGCTCTTGCAATTGTACTTGGCCTCACTATCTTCCAAAAGTGTGTTCATGTGACCTATTTTTTTGTTCCCACTCACATTTAGAAAGAATCTTTTTACCTAAATTCATTGCTTAACCATTTACTCTCTCAGCACCCGTCTTATACTTACATTCCTCTTACTCCTTCACTGATCTACTACATTTGAATTAACAGAAATAAATTAAGGTATCTGATGGTCGGCGAATCCAACTGACCTAGTTACCCATTTGAAGTTTTAGTTTTATCTTATTTTTGAATAGGTCATGTGCTATCCAGATGACGCTATGAAAGGCTTGATGCTGTAGTAGACTCTTCTTCCAGCCACTCAGGTAAGGTTTTTTGTTTTTTGTTTTTGCCTTTCCAGAGATGTCTTCTGCACACCCAAGATCCACACACATTTCCCCAGACGTGCTTCATGCAGAGAGTTCTGCTCCTTTCGTTCTTCCCAGCAGCAAAGTAGCAGAGTTGGCATTCTGTACTAGCACCTAGCTTGCTCAGTTTGGGAATGGTTGTCTTTCATTCAATGGCGCCACCATAAATTACTAAACCAATCCCTTAATGATCTAATCCTTTATTTTTAAATATATAAATGTTCAATGGAAGAATGCAGAAGTTGTTACATTTATTAACTGTGGTGGGGGTGGGGGTGGAGGTGTGCATGCAAACTGGTATTGGAGCTTCAACTCAGAGGCCAGGTCACTGTCCTTAGCTTTTTAGCTCTACCACTCGAGCTACACCTCTGCTTCTGGTTTTTGCTGGTTCATTGGAGATCAGAAGATTTTTCTGCCTGGGTTGGCTTTGAATCAAGATCCTTAGATCTCAGCCTCCTCAGTAGTTAAGATGACTCAGCCATGACCATGGGTGACTAGCCTTAGTAATCTTTTTTACCTCAGTTTAGCCAAGTTGTGTGAAGTAAAATTGTGGATGTTGGGACATGTTAGATGAATAAAGCAAATTTCTATTGCTTTTCTTTCCCATCTGCTTCACTCCTATGATACAACAGCTTCCATCCACATACACAGACACACTGTATTCCAAAATCACTCCTCCTCCATCCTTCTCCTTCCCTGTCTCCCTCAGTTACAAGCCTCTATCATCTAAATTCCACACATGAGTGAGAACATTTGAGATCTGGCTTTCTGAGCTTGGCTTTTCTCACTCAACATGATAATCTCCGGTTTCACCCATTCTCCTGCAAGTGACATGATCTTATATTTCTTTATGATTGAGTAATATTCCATAGTATGCACAGACTATATTTCCTTCATCATTTGTTGGGCCATAAAAGAAGTTAATCTGGCTAAGTTATAACATATGACATATGACATATAAAATGTCACGGGTGAAACTCCTTTGTACAATTGATATACATTAAAAATGACAAGAAAACAAAAGACGTTCTGTTGGGAATCAGGTATCAGTAGGAGAGGGGAAGGGCCAATGGAGAGGGTAAATGAGGGGAAGTATGGCTGAAGAACTTTAAATGCATGTATGAAAATAGAATAATGAAACCTAATGGAGGTTTTGTTTTGTTTTTGTTGGTTGTGAGGCTTGAACTGAGGGCCTGGGTGCTGTCCCTGAGCTCTTTTGTTCAAGGCTAGTGCTCTACCACTTTGAGCCACAGCGCCACTTCTAGCTTTTAGGTGGTTAATTGGAGCTAAGAATCACATGGATTTCCCACCCAGGCTGACTTCCAACCACGATCCTCAGATCTCAGCTTCCTGAGTAGTTAGAATTATAGATGTGAGCCACCATCGCCCAGCTGATGAAGTTGTTTTAGGAAGGGGGGGGATGAGGTAGTAATGGCAGGGGTGAGTTTGGTGAGGTACTTCGTGTGTGTATGGATATACTACAATGAAACCCCTCTGTACATCTAATTGATGTTAATTTTTTTTTTTTTTTTGCTTATGTGGTGCTGAGGAATTGAACCCAGGACCTCATGCATGCAAGGCAAACACTCTACCACTGAGCCACCTTCCCAGCCACTGATGTTAATTTTTTTAACCTAAGGAAAAAAAAACCTTTTAATTCTTTCTGCTCTTTCTGAGCAGATGGCAGAGGTGATGGTGGTAGTCTGCAGTTTTCTCTCTGTCTGGAATTCTCTGTTCTCCAGTTAACTGAGGTGAGCAGGGGTTTGGAATACCATTTCAGTTACAAGAGCTGGTTTGTATTTGAGAGTCTGGAAGTCATGCTTTCTGATTTAGCAACAGTCATGCAAAACCATGAAGAAGTTCATATACTTTGGCTTAATAATTAAATCCCCCCACAAGTATACAAAAGGTATCTTTTGGCTGAGTGAAGATGTTCATTGTAGTTTTATTTTAACCACACAGGTGGAAAACAACCTGAAAGCCCATCAATTAAGTAGAAAGCTAGACAATCATTTAAAGTGATGTTGTGAAAGATTTTTCAAAAAATGTATTAGCATAGAGTCAGGCACTGTGGCTCATTCTGTAGTCTTTAGGATTGCAGGTTTGAGGCATTGGCACCCTGCTATAGTTTCAAGACAAGTGCTCTACCACTTCTATCTTAGTCATTCTTAACCCTCTTTCCTGCTTCCCCTTTAAAAGTTATAGAGGGTTTCATTATAACTTCAATCAAATCCATTCCCCACTCTCTCCTTCCCTCCTCCCTCCTTTCACTGGTTATTTCTACTAGACCTCAACTTAAAATCATGTAGTTTTTAAGGTCTAGATTTTGTATGTATGTAAAAATATGTGTTACATGTCTTTCTGAGCTTGGCTTATGTCACTCAACACAATGGTCTCCAGTTACATCTATTTTCCTGTGAGTAACATAATTTCAGTTTGCTTTACTGTGAATAATATTCCATGGTGTACATATGCCACATTAAACAATTATTTATCTACTTATGTTTGTGCTGGTTGTGGGTCTTGAACTCAGGGCCTCAGAGCTATACCTGAATTTTTGTGTTCTACTGCTTGAGCCACAGCTCCACTTTTGACTTTTTGCTCATTAATTGGAGATAAGAGTCTCACAGACGGGCTGGGAAGGTGGCTCAGTGGTAGAGCGCTTGCCTTGGATGCATGAGGCCCTGGGTTCGATTCCTCAGCACCAGATAAGCAAAAAGAAAAAAGCCGGAAGTGGCGTTGTGGCTCAAGTGGTAGAGCGCTAGCCTTGAGCTGAAGAGCTGAGGGACAGTGCCCAGGCCCAGAGTTCAGGCCCCACGACCGGACCCAAAAAAAAAAGAGTCTCACAGACTTTCCTGCCTAGGCTACTGCAAACTGCAATCCTCAGATCTCAGCCTCCTAGTAG